AAATAATATACAAAACTTAGTGAAGTTATTGGATGTCATTCTAGCTCGTCACAACAAGAACACACGTTACCTACCTTGAGTGATAAATCTTAGTCTCTCCCATTATAAAAACTTAATCTTTTTCATTCTTATTTTAATAAAACACGTGATTAATACATCAAGAACTTAATATCAATAAAAACGGTAACAATATGTAATTCCATAATTTTGTTAGTTATTATATATAAAAACTGAATTCAATTAAACTAATTTATTTAAACTTATAATTTATTTAATCAATTAACAATTATACAATATTGATCAAAAGTATTTTGGCTTGACTCAATTAATTGTGTCAATTGATTATATATAAAGATATTATTTTATTTTTATTTCTGAATCCAATGTCTTATTGTACAATATACATATTTACTCAAAGCTATCATTTTGTCTCAAAATCCTGTATAAGCATATTTTTTAAAAAAACTACAAGTTAAAAAAGCTTGGAGACTGGCTCAATGGAGCTTTAGACAAGATGGATGTGAATGAATTTTTCTCTGGTGCCTATTATCAGTTAGCATCAACGAATTTTCGTGGGAGAATGTACATGTGATAAGTGTTACATCACGCGCGAAAAAAATATAGATACACCGCGTTTCTCAATTAACACGGCTATTTTCAAAATTTACTTTATCTTGTTTCTTGTTTCAACATACACAGGTGAAATTAGGTAAATGTCAGATAACTTATTAGCATATATTGTATTAATATCTAGTGCTCTCTTGGTTGAACTTCTAAATATCATTCTCTCGCTTTAAAGTAGAGATAAATAGAAATCATTATTCTTCCTTGTCAGTGATACAGAAACAAAAAAAAAGAGAATTGCATAACGAGCGAAGGCAGTAAGCTTTTCAAATTTCCGATACCATGTCATCCTTGTTTGACTTTGACTTTACCAAGATGGAAGAGGTCCAAAACTGGACGGGAATAACTCCAACTTTGGAAGATATTGAAGCCGCCGCCGCCTTCTTTTCCAATAATAACGACACGCAAACTGAAAACGTCTCCTCTTCCTCCCCTACACAAATAACAACTAATCAGGGGACAAAGGAAAATCATGAATTTGTAATGTCAGTAGAGAATAACGATTTAATGGAGATATTACTTACACAAAAGTTCCTTGATGGAGATTCCTCTATCAGGACGGAAACAAATAGTCAAGGAGTAAAGGGAATTCAGGAATCAGTGATGGCGACAGAGAATAATAACGATTT